GTGTGGGGGGGGGAGGGTGTGTGTGGGGGGGGGGGGGGGGGGGGGGGGGGGGGGCAAGGCCTTCCCGACGACGGGCTAGTGGATTTAACACATTTCGACATTTTTTTGCTACGCTAGAAAATGATTACACATATAACAGAATTTTCATCTACATCTACTTTATGTCCGAAAATATTCAATTGACGTTAACAGATGTAACGAATAAATGATAAAACAACACGTAGGTCTATTACATTAATAAAAAAAAATCATTAGCAATTATAATTAACAGAATAAAATCATATTAATACATATATGAAAAATATTGTAGGCCCTATAATAATAATAGGCCTAATAATAATAATAATAATTATAATAATAATAATAATAATAATAATAATTATTATTATTATTGTTATTATTATTATTATTATTATTATTATTATCAAATGATTAAACAAAGTGTTATAAAAACCATTGCATTACGAATAATTTTGAAAATAAATACTGTATGTTAAAAATACGAAAGGTTTCAACGTTAATTATACACATTTGGGTAATATATCATTTGGGTGTTCATTTGGGTAATTCCCTATCATTTGAGTAATTCGTCTGACCCCTCGTATGAGACAGAGTTGCGACATGAGCGGTTCAGGTCACGTGCTGGACGCCCTCAATATGTCATTACTGGAGGTTTGCCACAAACACCCGTTCTTGCCGTCCTGTGAAGAGGCCATCGAAAGGCCCAGTCGCTAGAGCCGAACAAACGCGCTGTTGTACCTCTAGCTAAAGGGGCTACTCTATTTTAGTCAAGCAAAAATTACATGCTTAATTAATAATTATTACATGAATAATTATTAATAGCTTATTGAGAATCAATTTCTTTTTGATTTTTGTTATAAATTTCAAACAAGTGTTAAAAATGACAGATAGGCCTATACAATATCAAATGACATAAATTTTCTTATTAATAGGCCTAATAGGGCCTATTTTTTAAAATTTTTTTCCAATTGCCTGATATTTATACCCCACAAGCGGCTCATAACCACTCGGCCATTCAACTCGCCCAACAAACTCATTATTGTGACGTAATTTACCACATAGGCCTACGAGATAGAGTTATGTGACGTCATGACATTGACAACCAGCAAAAAATTACATCATTATCAGATTCAGAGAAATGTGGACGTGCAGATATTAATACATTATACTGTAGTATAAAAGCCGATTGTTGTGATTGTGACAGCTGAATTGTTGTCAGTTTCCAAGTTCTATGTGAGTATATTAATTGCTTTTATATCATGTTGCGATTCTACACTGTTAAAATGTAAATTGAAGCTCATGTTCCAGTCTAGCCTAGCGAATGAGGCCCTATATAGATACTCTTATTACTAGGCCTAGGCCTAGCCTATAATAGGCTAGGCTAGACCTAGTAATAAGAAAGAGTCAGAAGAGAAAGTAATTCGTGCTGTCATGCCCACAGTGAGTGACATAACTGCCGCCGGCGATGCAGGCGTAGTCCTTTGGCTAGGCTAGATTAAAAACCAAATATCCGAACTTTGTTGTATAACTGGATATTGTATTTTTGTAGTCTTTCAAATTGAAGAAATTAAATACACTGATTAACTGATCAAAAAGTAAATACAGTAATAGATACAAATTGATGGAAATGCTACTGTTTTTAGAGTAAGCATACAGTAGCCTAGTAAAAGAAATTCATCATTTGGTGAAATTTTTGTTACAGATATGATATTAAGAATAGCCTTCTGTATGTAAAATTGTAAAGTAAACATAGTATATTGATTAAAATAACACAACATATATATGATGTATTATAGTTAATCCCTTTCTATCATATTTAGTATTTTCCTAGTGGAGTTTTTGCCAAGAATAAGTCGTAGTATGTCGGGAAATGTCAACAAACGAATAGGAATTGATACAAGAGATATATACACACCAGGAGAATCAGCAGTTGGAAAATTATCAAGGAAAGCGGCAGAAGATCCATTTGTTCCTGTTGGTGAGTAATTTGCTGTTGATAACTTTATTTTCCTTTCTGAACAAGGGCTTGGGGATTACCAACAGCTAATACACCACTCTTATTATTATATCCCTTTCACTAGTAATAATTCAAGTTTGTACTTGTTCATCAACATACAAAAACAATTATTTGTCACATTTTTTTGTGTAGTATAGAATACAAATATGCTTGGCACTACCTGCAGTAGAAAAATAATTACATTCATTCATTTCTTTGTTCATTCATTCAAGTCTTATAAAGCAAAAACATAAACATACAAAATAATTTTAATTATATAATACTAATAGAGAAAATAATACCAAGAAGCACAAGTTACTGTATGTTGTGTGTTCTTAGTAGTGTTGTCAGCGAAATGTCATACTTCATAAACCAAGCTTAGTGGTATATATCTAGGGAGTGTAAGGGAGTGGGTTGCACTTTCACAAAATAATACTTGCGCCAACCCGACCCCCAGTCTCTCCCAAAACATCATACCTATTGTAATTACTGTAGTTAAAAATCACCTCAAATCACCTTATTTTGCTACCTAGCACTCCTCACCTAACCACCGAGCCCCCCACCCCACCCCATTGCAAGACTCCTGGATATGCCGCTGCCCAAGTCTTCAGAGACCTGAGAAGTTAATACCATGAAAGGTTCAAAGGTCAGCTTTGCTGGATGAAACAAAACATAAGCCTGCTATGTAATTTTTTTATTTGATTTGGAAGTAAAAATGTTGACTAAGTATTCCTAATTTTCTTATTTATAGGTATTGCTGGTTTTGTCGTAGCAGTTGGGTATGGCGCATACGCTTACAGGAATCGTAGAGGAATGTCGACATCAATATATTTAATGAGGTTACGTGTTATTGCGCAGACATGTGTTGTTGGAGCTATGACGCTTGGCGTAGGATACAAAATGCTTGCTAGCACATTCAAAAAGGACAATTCATGATGACTTAAAATTCTATTGTTGGAATTTTTATAAGATACAATTATTAGCATCATCAAAACTACTTTTTAATATTGATAATATTGATTTTTCAATTATTAATAATATTATTAATATCAATATTATTTTGTTATAAGAAAAAAAATCACATAGATTGTTACTGATGTGGAAGTCCAGTTTCAATGAAATATTTAACATAAGTTTAAATAATATATTGTATTTATGTTATTTATATTTTCTCCTTGGAAATATTTTTATATTTATACTATATAAAGAACAAATATAATGAAGTATTTGAATTATCAGAGTCAAAATTTTTAAAATTCGCTCATAAAGGAGTTTTTAATATAATTATAATTGTCACTGTCATTGCTATAAATTAGAATTTGATTGATTCCGATAATTTAATAGTTTCTGGTTAAGAAATAACAGCATTGCCATAGTTACAGAATCCAAAGAAACTGGGAAAATTACCAAACCACCAGTCTTAAATGGGAGGGGAGGGGACTGATTGTGGTGCAAATCGAGTGAGGGGGGTGGGGCACTAGGTCACAAAGTAATATGGTAGATGATTTTTGACTACTTGAGCATGATTATTTAGCTTTGGACATTTTCAATGGAGGGAGAAGAGATGGGGGGAGCACAAGCCTTTTTTGTGGGGGGGTGGGGTGGAACATGCTCCCCCACACCACTATATATGCCACTGGCTTTACAACTGTTCTGAAAAGTGATTGTTTGGAGGTGTGTAAAGATATTTTAACAGTATAGCCAGGGTGCCATAAAATTGTGTTTTAATTAATATACGTATTCGCATAGAATTCTTTTACATCTTGTTGTGTATACTGTATTTGAATACACGTAAATAAATTTCTTAATTTTATGATATGTTTTGATCAGACTCTGTAGTGAGAGAGAAATCATATTTTTAAAATTATTTGATAATAGAGAATACAGAGTATTATTGGGATTGTGTGATTTCACTGTTGAAATGAATAAATACTTGCAGTATTGTGTTACATTTGGTATATGGTATTTTCTGTTCTGAATGCATATCAAGCACCTTCATCATCATTAAAATGGATATGAATGCTATACAATTTTGTACTTATTTATTAATTATTATGCTCTGTTGTACGGTACCTGCCGGTTGGACATTTTTAGGAATTATGATCATGTGTTTAGTGGTGCATGTTTTAAAATCAATGGACTGTCAAGGGAAGATTCGATACCTGTGAACAAGAAACTCGCTTGAGCCAAGCATGTTCCAAAAGTCATCACTGGACCAGTGGCCTAACAAGTCACAGGGCCCGGGGAAAAGAAGTGTTGGATGTATTATCAGCAATGTCGAAAAATATTGTGTGATATATTTAACAAATATAATCAACTAATATTTTTCACACATTTTTAATTTGAATATTTTTGCACAATGTGTTCTTAGCTATATGCATAAATCTTCATTTGTGTACTTACTGTAATCCAACAAAAAAAAAAAATAAAAAAAATAAAAATAAAAAAATAAAAAAAATTTTGTAACACAATGGGAGTTGCATGTGCAGTATATGTACAGTGTTCGCTCTGTAGCGGCAGTTGATTGACAGCCAGCTTTTATTATTAATGTTGTTGGTGTCGATGTTATTATTACAGTTAGTATTATTATTAATATTAACAGTATAAATCTACTATCAATCACTTGTTTTATTCTTGCGTTGATTCAAATACAAGGCCCATACAAAGCCTGAATCTCGAAGTCATAAAAAGCGAATGATACGTCCTGTGTCGTTCTATCAAAATCGAACTCTAGGTGAGGCTGACACAGACCAAACTATCCTACGTGAAGAAAATTCCCAAACGGCGAGGCCAGAGATCTGAATGAAATGAGGCAGCGCCCCCAGACAACTCATGCCTAGCACACAAAGATCTTATAAGATCTTTGCTAGCACAGGAGTATTATAGTGGCGCTATTGGATTAGCGTTATTCTAAGCGTCATACTCTAGAAATAAGTCGAAACAAAAAAACAAAAAAACAAAAAAACCAAACAAAAAAAACGCCTACGTGTAGAAAGTTCTGTTCCTCACAGAGCCTCCCCCCCCCCCACAATAAAAAAAAGTAAAGCATGGTTAGGCATGACTATTTTAAAAATAATATGACCTATGTCCGATAATAATGTTATTACGTCGATCATTAAAAAAAAAAAAATCACGGTAAGGCGAATATAGGCCTACCATCGACCGAATCCGAATAAGTAGCCCTATATTCCAATATCTGAATTTTAATGTACATTCTAATGTAAATTCTCTTTTGAATGCACCACAACGCCGCGAGATACAAGAGTGTATGCCTATCTTTAATAAAAAATAATTTTACTCGCCGTAATTAGAAGTATTTTAATGTTACTAGAATCTTCTGTCTTTTTCTCAGTTTTATCAGATAGGTTGACATCTGAGCGTGACTCATGGCAGGCCTGTATGTTGTATAGGCCTACCGTTCTCTATGTTATAATATAGTGCTAGACTTCAGTGTTTACACTGATACCTACATAGGCCTATATAGAGGCAGACAGTCCAGGATTGGAATCCCAACTGGCGTATGCCTAACTTTTTTTAAATCCAACAATTACATTATTTTAATACAATTGTTATTTCTGTTACATATGGTAGATTAGTGTGTTGCCTGAAATTCTTTAGTGACCTTCGTAGTTCATATTCACAGATCAGAAGCAGGCCCTACGGTGGATCTCGACGTCGAATTAGATCTTTTTGTGCGCGGTTCTTCTGTCATTTTTCAACCGTAACTACCAAGTCAAGGTCAGATCCGATCTAGTTCAAAACAAATTCAAAAGATTATTACGGAAACATTAACTGAATTTTCACGTTCATATCAGATAAACTGCTAATTGCTGCTACAAATAAAACTCGTTGACCACCACGGACCGATGGCGGGTCATATTAACTCCAGTATTTGAACAATAGGAAAGAATAGAACAGCCATGAGCGATATATAATAACATTTATAATCATCATTCAGAATTCTATTTTTGTACTGAATAATTTACAATAATTATTGGTAGGACGATACAGCAAAAGTGTGAATGGTGATGTGGGCACCATTTAATGACACATGAATGTTCAATATATATAATATATTATTATTATTTATTATTATTATTTATATTTATTTATTTGTATATCTAAGCCTATATCGTTTTATATCAGTTACTAATTACGTGCCTATTATCTTATGATTTATCTTGGTTCATTTGTTACAGTTTTTTTAAGATACTTTTTTAAGATACTTAATTTGGAATAAACAATGTAGCTGGATGAAGGCATGGGAACCAAGATGAAAATTAAACATATATAAATGAATAGTCTGATAAGTAATCTAAGTCTATATTAAAACCGTTTATATAAGAATTGGTCTAAGAATCCATTTCAATTCTTCATTGCGTCTATGCGAGAGGGATGAAAAGTTATTAGCGATCAAAATAAATCGTATGTCATTAATGCTATGGCTAGGTAGATTGAAGTGAAAGGCTACTGGGAAACCAGAATATATAGGTTCGTTACAAAACATTTCTTACGGAACGTGATCAAATACGACAAGCTTTAATCTAATTAAAACCACCTTTTCTGATTAAACGACCTTGTTGTCGTTGGCTGTTAATTGTCGCACTCGTCTTATTTATTGATATTGATTAAAGTGTATAACGAATTTAAGATCTGGTGCGGAATTTAAGTGAGTAATAAGTGACTTATTACTCCAGATATTGTCATCTTTGTTTCTCTCAATACAATTATAGGCCTATTTCATCATCTGAAGATTCGCACACACACAAATAATTAGTAAGCTCAATATAGGCTATTATTGTATTATTTAATTTTATATTATTATTTTTATTAATTTCTCAGTTTTAGTTGTTTTAAAGCTTGTATTAATTAAAATAGATAAATAAATAAATTCATGTTGATGGTGTGGAACATTATATGCAATTGATTTGCTTATGTCGAGTAAGATTAGTAAATTAAACCTGAAAATATAAAGAAACGATTTTTTAACGTTTTCGATTTTACTGTATTACCTGTACCTTATGTCTAATAAGTTGATGGTTTTGTATTTTTCTTTCTTTAGGAGGCGGCACTTCCCATTAGGATGGTGCCACACACCCACACACCCACCCCAACACCCCCCACACACACATACACCCCCTCCCCCCACACACACAAGACCCACACATTTCCTGATAACCCAATCTCCATGTGGATACTTTATTACAATAGTAAAGATAATACTTGGGCATAGACACACGCTTCCGTTGGGGGCCTATTTTTAAAGTAATGTCTCAGGCTAAATCAGTGAAAGCTTTTGTATTATTTTTATACCTCCTTGGTCTAGAATATCAATTTTTCTTTGATAAAAATCTGTTTGATATGCTCACATTGATAGTGCTTATATATGGTCATGATGTGATGTCATCATCAATTTTATACTCCCATGTCATCATGACAATTTTAGGCATGTCACGTAAAATTTGATTAGACATTGACTTTATTGACGGTTAATAGCTTTCTTTAGAAGATACAATAAGGATTTTGACGTAGGCCTATATTGTACCATAGAAGGTATACCGTTAAAACCTCAAATTGAAGCCCTGTGCTTCATTTTTTTTTTTCGAGATCTTTGGCTGGGCTTTTTTTTAAAAGGCTACATTAGCAAAATAAAAAAGGGCGCTTCTTTTCAAAGTGAATTTTGAGAATCAGTACTATCGTAGAGATATTATAATGTTTACTATAATACCTCCATGGTATTATAAAACAATAAATAGGGCCACTGTAACATCAACCTGTGTCGTGGAGTGTATTATCCGGTATAAAATCATTTAAAACAGTACTGTATAAACCAAGCGTGTTTTTCATTTATTTATTTTGTTTCTTTCAAAATTCATGTACAGTGTATGTACTGTACAATCTCGAAAAGATAGTGCAGTTGAGGCTAATATTGCTAACGAGGAGGATTTGATTCGAGATGGGCTTCTTTTCGAGATTAAGCCCACTGGGCTTCAATTCGAGGTTTTACGACTTCGTTAACAGGGGCGGATCCAGATTTTTTTTTTAAACGGGGAGGGGGTACAACAGTATCAGAATATGTAAGTGAGTAGCACGTGACATTTATTTCAATTTAATTTCCTAAAATGTAGTGGCAAAACTGGCCCCCTTACTGGATCCGCCCCTGGTTAAGGTGATTTTACATGCAAATCCAGTAGATACAAGTTTCATGTAGGCCTACACTACGTTGACCACGGCATTGTTTGGATCACCCTCGCTGTCATAAACTAGGCCTATTGGCGCCCCATGAAAACATCACTAGGCCAATTTGCTAATTTATTTGTCCCGCCCCCCCCCCCTTCCCCTCTTTTAGTATTAAAAATGTCATTATTTGCCGCTGTTTGTCGTCGACAAGATAGTAAATAGCAACACCCTCCACAAACAAAATCTTGTAATGACTTTCAAATGTTTAAAAGGCATTGTTCCTGAAATTCCTGAATATTTAATTAACTTTTACGATACATTGATTGGGTATCCAGTAAAAAGAAAGGTTTCTAATTCTAATTCTAAAGAATTAATTTTATATTCCCAAGGTGAAACTAATTTAATTTAGCCTTACCGGTTCTGGAATTGAATAGCAGTTCACACAGTTTCAGTAGTGTACGTATTTGTATGAGTGGACCTGGGCGCGTTTGAGCTAGATAAATTTCCGAGCGAGTTTCGGTAAATTATATGCCCGGAAGCTCTCTGTCAACATATACTTCAATAGAAAGTGATTTGTTAATAACGCAGATCATTTAAAATCTGCACAATAACTCAGAAAAAGAGACAGATCAATTAATATATGACCTGTGTGACCTTGCATTGTTAAATTAAGACATTGTCAACAGACATATTATGGATTCATCACCCGAGTGTTTTTGTTTGAAAATTCGATTAGGCCTCATGTGCCGGTAATATACCATGACGTATGTATTTTTAAACAATATATTTTTTTTTATTTCCGTCCCATCACACTTCACTACCAGCAGTACACTCGCCACGGGATGGA